AGGAAGAAAGCAATGAAAATGGTCGGAATGACTCACCTGGGCCCCTTGCCAAGCGGAGGTTTCAGGCCAAGAGATCCACCGTTCAGACCTCAGCGCGCCGGGCCTGGACTGGCTGAACGTCACAGTAGTGACTCATTTATCCAGCCGGTGCTTCTGCCCGAAAGAAAGAACACAATGCCCAAAGGATTGGGGGGGGGGGGTTGTGGTTTTGTTGAAACTTTCCTCCAGAGCAGATTTTCCCTGTCAAATGGCACTAATTCTATTTTATTATGTTTCTGCCTGTCCGGGGAGAAGGAGAGGGGAGAGAGAGGTGGGGGGGGAAGCTATAATGTAGGACCCCGATCCAGGCAAGGTTACATTTTGGTGTCCGGATTTTCCCCTTTGCAAGGAGGGGCGCTTTATTTTGTTGGAGGGGGACCAGTTCCCCAAACCGCCTCTTGCCCTTCGACTTTTATGCATCGTTGGAAGGAGGGGGGGGGCAATGCTTGGCACCCAACTTGCTGCTGCTGCTGCTGCTGTCCCTACCGCAGCCCCTGCCCCCAAAGTCCAAGCGCGACCGAGAAAGATTAAAGCTTTTGCTAAAGGACGGCAGCCTAACAGAACAGCCACTAAACGAGAAGTCGTCGGGACGACCCAGGGCTCTTGGCTTGGTCTTAACTGCAGCCACCCGCCCTGCTCCCCTTCTTGGAAAGAAGCGTCCGAGCCGACAGGACAGCTCTTACGCAGGGTCGTGCGTCTGCTCTTTGAACGCAGACAGGAATGCCGCCTTTCCCTGGAATTGCCCCCCCCCTCAGCAGTGGCAGCGGGCGGGCGGGCGGGCGGGCCGGGGGGGGGGAGTTAAAACCAAAGGCTTTCCTTCCTTCCTGCCTCCCCCTCCTTTCCTCTGGGTTTGTTTCTTCCCCCCTCTCTCTCCCGCCCCAATTCTTTCTTTCTTTCTTTCTTTCTTTTTCTTTTTTTTACCTCCTTGCTTGGCGCTCGCCGTCCTTCCTCCCCCCCCTCCCCCCCCCGTCGCCGTCCCGCATAAACCAATTACACCGCTTTGCAAATAAAGAGACGCCCCAGGGGAGTTGCAAGCCGAGTGGAACTGCCTGCTCTGCAGGTGCATCTGCGGCTTGGTAGGTGCGAACGTCTTTGTGCGGCGGACAAATGGGGAGAGGAGGAGGAGGAGGAGGAGGAAGAGGAGGAGGAGGAGGAGGAGAAGGAGGTGGGCGCTGCTTTGGCGGCGGCGGCAGCGGCAGCGGCGGCGGCGGCGGCTGGTGCAACGTAAGATCCACCTCAGCTCAACTCCGCTCACATCCCAGCCGGCACTTCCTCACTTTCTCGAGTGGCTCGCCGCCACCCGACGTCCGTGCTCGACTGAGCCCTCCCCGGGGGCCGGCTTCCTGCTAGACTCGGGGGGGCTCTGCTTTCTGGCCTCCCTTTCGCTCGCCAAGAGGGGACTGGATGATTTCACCGCGCACGTTGACTCCAGGATGTTAGGGACTGTGAAAATGGAAGGGCACGACGCAAGCGAGTGGAACAGTTACTACGCCGAGACTCAGGAGGTGAGCGGACCCGGGGGTGGGGGTGGGGGCTGGGGTGCGGGGGTAGGGATCCGAGGACAGGTCGGGAGGGCTTCGGCCAAAGAAGAGGGTCTTCCCACTCCCGGGAATCAAGCCTAAGCGCGCGCTCCTGGTGGTGCCTAAACCTGCCTTCTCCAGTGTTACAGCTGGTTGCAAAGCCCGGGAAGGAATCAACAGAATTTCCAATCGTCCCACGGNGGGGGGGGGGGGGGGGGGGGGGGGGGGGGGGGGGGGGGGGGGGGGAGAGGAAGATCTTATTGATCACCTCCTCGGATTGCGCGTGGAAACGCGGCAGAGTCCTAAATTCCAGGTCCTCCCAACCGCGCCAGAGTCCCTCCATGCAGGGCCTTGGTTTGTGTACGTGCGGGAGGGAACAATCACCGCGAGCCCCCCTCGGGAAGCAGTTTCGCGTTTGGTTGGTCCCCCTTCCCACCCCTCACCTGGGCCAGCATTGTTCTTCAGCTAGGCAAAATAACCCATTTGTGTGTGTGTGTGTGTGTGTGTGTGTGTGTGTACTTTGCCGCACGCTTCTTTCGCGGAGTTGGGGGGGTAGGGGGGTTTGGGGGGGGTGTTAGAGATTAAAAAATAAAGCAGAAATCAATTCTCCCGGAGCCCGGCGGGTGGCGCTGTCGAGAATGCGATCCGACTCGGTAACCAGGAGCCCAACTTTTCATTGTCCATTCATGTCCACCTTCCTTATTTTACAATATGCTCCAAAGAACTGAAAGAAAAGGATCAAAAGCGGGCGAGAGGAACGAGAAGGGTGGAGGGAACCTGTGAAACCCCCCCCCCTTCTAACTGAGGGAATAAATGGAGCCTTTTCGTGACTAAAGGCGGAACATAAAATTAATAAGCTGCAAGCCAGGAAACGTAGCTATGTATAAAGTGAAAAAGAAAGCAACCAGATGAGACGTAGAAATAGTCTGAAGCCCGTGCAGGAACGGGACTTGCTTTGCGCGGCTTTATCGGAATTATGATCCGGGTTTGCTGCGCGGCAAATGCAGCCGGTGGTTAAAAACTGGAGCCCGCTGGCCGCATTTTGTTTCGCCCCTTTTTAAAGAGGAGCTTCTAATTTAATGCTAGGGGTCAAAAGGGGGCACAGAAAGAGATTGAGACTCATTGGATGCGTCTTCCCGCCACACCGGTATTCCAGTGGGGTGGGAGAGAAAATCAAACGACCGTCTTAGGCAAATATGGACTCTTGGATCGGCAAACAAGAATTTGCCTGCTCTCCCTAAACTTAAACTCTGTTTTATAAGGAAGTGTTTTTAGAGTGAAAGGAATTTAGCACATTCCTATTACTTCCGTATTTAGTAACAAACTGTGCATGTGCTTATGAAGACATTCCCCCCCCCCCCCAATTAATGGTAGACGGCACTGATCTCCTAGGCTGGATTTGGTTCCTAGAATTTAAAAATAGCAGGCATCTTTCCCCATATTGACATTTCCGCCTAGGCAAGCACTATTGTGGACATAGCCTATCATTCAAATATCACCATTCCTTGATATATTTCCAATAATACAAAACTATAATCATAACATCGTGGGACAATATAGTCCACAGCATAGAGTTCAAATATACGCAATATTGACAAAGCTAATTAAGCAACGAGTTTATAAGGCATAATAGCCCTTCCCGTGCAGTTTGCAATATGGGTTAATAAAGTAAACCAATGGCTTAATAATTCGATTTTTTAGGGGAAAGTTTAAGCCTTTCCAAGGATTATTCTTTAGCCTTCTTAAGGCGCCTTGCCGGCTTTGGCATCTTTGATTTAAAGCGCGAAAAACTTTGGCCTGTCGACCTGTCCTTTACCAGTTAGTCAAAATGTCTAGACTGCAAGGCAAAGAGAAGAATTTGGCCCTAAATTTCAGGACCATTTGTTTGATTTTGGACACACACACACACACCCGGTCCCCTTCCCTGAAATTGTCGTTCGTCCTCCCAAGGAAAGCTTCCCGATTTAGCAGGGACCAGCCAAGGCCCTGGGGAGAAAAGCGACTTCTACCAATGTTGCCCAGGTTATTCCCCCCACGCCCCACCCGGGGCAAAAGCTGGGGTCCGCAAGCGGAGGGGCGCGAGGGGACGCGGGGCTGAGAACAAGCGGCGATCTCGCTTTCTTGGCTTCGGGGAGCCGTCGCGGGTTGTGAAGGCCTCGGCTTCTCTTGGGCGCCTCAACGAGGAGCTGGGAAGACCCGGCTTTCGTGGTTTAGGCCGCTCGCGCTGCGCCTTTGCCCTTTCCCGGGGCCTGTTGCCATGAGTGGGGCTGAGGCAGTGGGCCGTCTCGGTGCGAAGAGGGTCTGCCTGGCTCTCTCCAGATGCAATTCTGAGCAGCTCAGGAGAAACCTTGGTTTGCATTCACTGCCTTTAGATTTTGAAAAAACAACAACAAAACAAAAGCCTGCAACGAAGCCAAACGTAAGTGGGAATTATAGGGTTGCCAGGTGTCCACTACTTGAGCGGACAGTCCACTTTTTTCACATTATGTTCACTATTTTTTTTCACAAAATAGTACTGTACAGCTTTAGATTAACGTACCATTTCATCATAAAGCTTTTGAATTAAAAAAAATGTCCACTATTTTTTTTCACAAAATAGTACTGTACAGCTTTAGATTAACGTACCATTTCATCATAAAGCTTTTGAATAAAAAAAATGTCCACTATTTTTTTTCCCACAAAATAGTGGACATTTTTTTTTATTCAAAAGCTTTATGATGAAATGGTACGTAATCTAAAGCTGTACAGTCTACTTTTTTTTTACTACTTAACCCCCCCCCCCCCCGCTTGTCCGCTATTTTTTGGAAGCAGACCTGGCAACCCTAGTGGGAAACAGGATTGGAGGCTGCTCCCGATTTGGGAACTGGATCCTGGGAGAGTTGCTGTTTGGCCCAAAAGGCCAACATTTGAAAATTTGGGCCTTGCAGATTTTTCCGTTTCCAATCTGCTCCCGCCTTGGGGTTTTGGGGCGGATGTTCTCCACATCTCTCCAGATCTTTAACCGGGGCGCTTAGTCCAACCCTTCCTTAAATCACAGTTGCGATTTGTGCAAGGGGCAAACAGGATCCCTTCCAGCTCTGGAAATTTGGCCCTGAGTAAAAAACTACCTTCCTTTCTGAAAAGAAACCGCGGCCTGTGGAAGCCTGTGAAGCCTCCCCTCTGTGATGCATAATTATATGTTTATAGTACCACCACCTCCCAAATCTCCCAAATTTTGGCCAATGCAGCCAAAATGTTTATATTATTATCATCATTGTTATATCCGCCTACCTATTTCGGATGCATGCCGTTTCTTTCTGTGAATAATATCTTTTCTGTCACTTCTCCAGGTTTTTTGTTTTTTTTTTAGTAACTGACCATGCGAAAACTTAGCACCCATTCGGAATGCTCTCGGGGGGGACAAAGCTGGGCCACAAGGATTCCCTTTCTGCGGAATCCCAGGCTTGGGAAGCCTGGATTTGCTCTCCTTTTCTCCTTGCAATTCCAGGATGAGCGGGGAAGGCGGGCGGGCTGCACGGGGCTTGCATTCTCCAAGGGGAAATTCGTGGGCCAAGTAGGAAGACCCTCACACGGTGGGGGGGGGGAACGAGGGTTCCTACGGCAAGGGCGGGAGGGGTCGGAAGAGCCAGCATTATTAACCCGTGCTCCCTCCGCAGGCCTACTCCACGGTGCCAGTGAGCAACATGAATTCCGGCCTGGGCTCCATGAATTCCATGAACAGCTACATGAGCATGAACGCCATGACCACCAGCGGCAACATGACTTCGGGCTCCTTCAACATGTCCTACGCCAACCCGAGCCTGGGGCCCGGCTTGAGTCCCGGCGGCACCGGAGCCAGCATGAACAGCATGTCAGGCATGGGGTCGGCGCTGAGTCCCGGCGGCATGAACGCGATGGGCGGCCCGCAGGCTTCGCTGAACGGGCTGGGCGCCTACGGGGCCATGGGCCCCTGCATGAGCCCCATGGGCTACGCCTCCTCCAACCTGAGCCGCGGCCGCGACGCCAAGAGCTTCAAGCGCAGCTACCCGCACGCCAAGCCGCCCTACTCCTACATCTCGCTCATCACCATGGCCATCCAGCAGGCGCCCAGCAAGATGCTGACGCTGAGCGAGATCTACCAGTGGATCATGGACCTCTTCCCTTACTACCGCCAGAACCAGCAGCGCTGGCAGAACTCCATCCGCCACTCGCTCTCCTTCAACGACTGCTTCGTCAAGGTGGCCCGCTCGCCGGATAAGCCGGGCAAAGGCTCTTACTGGACGCTCCACCCGGACTCGGGCAACATGTTCGAGAACGGCTGCTACCTCCGGCGCCAGAAGCGCTTCAAGTGCGAGAAGCAAGCCGGGCCCAAGGGCGGAGGCGAGGGAAGGAAAGACCCGGGGGTCGGGGCCGGCTCCCCCTTGCACCGAGGCCAAGCCAAAGGCGGGCAGCTCGAGGCCGCCCCGTCCAACCCCGGCGCCGCCAGCCCGCAAGCCCTGGACCAAAACGGGACCGGAGCCGAGCTGAAGCCCTCCGTGGCTGCTGCTGCTGCTGCTGCTGCTGCTGCTGCAGCTGCAGCGGCCGCCTCGGTCCCCGGCGGGCCGGCCTTGGCCCCCTTGAGTCACCCGGGCCACGCGCTGGGACCCCACGAGCCGCCGCTGCACCTGAAGGGCGACCCCCACTATTCCTTCAACCACCCCTTCTCCATCAACAACCTCATGTCCTCCTCCGAGCAGCAGCAGCAGCACAAGCTGGACTTCAAAGCCTACGAGCAAGCGCTGCAATATTCCTCCTACGGGGCCGGCCTGCCCGGCGGCTTGCCCCTCAGCAGCGCCTCCATGGGCGGGAGGGGAGCCATTGAGCCCTCGGCCCTGGAGCCCTCCTACTACCAAGGTGTGTATTCCAGACCGGTGCTGAACACCTCGTAGCCGGCCGGGTGGGACTGGAGGGTCAAGCGAGCGGAATCCCCCCCTCCCTCCCCTCCCTCCCCCCTCCCCCCCTCCTTGTCTGTGTCTCTCCTTAGATCAGTGTTTCTCAACCTTGACCATTTTAAGGCATGTGGACTTCAACTCCCAGAATTCCACAGCCAGCAAAGCTGGCTGTGGAATTCTGGGAGTTGAAGTCCACATGCCTTAAAATGGTCAAGGTTGAGAAACACTGCCTTAGATCTCTGCCCAAACTGACCGTCCGCCCCCTCCCACCTCCAGCCCGCCATCCGGAGATGGAGAAAGGCAAACGGGACACGCGCAAGAAGCGAAAGGACTGTTACTTTATTCTAGGGGGGGGGGCTCGGATAATGCGTCCCCTTTCTCCCGGTTTCGGCTTGGCGAGTCCAGCAGATCCCACAGGCCGGCCCTCCTCTCTCTACTACGAGCCCTGGGTAGGCCACCCTCGGCCACTGACCGGAGCAAGCAAGCAAGCGAGGCTCCCGTTTGGAAACTCAGAACGAGCGCTCGCGTTTCCCCGTCCTTTTCTCCTCTGAAGCAACCTCGCCCAAATTGGGGGAGGTGGGGGGATTTTCCAACAGGGAAAGGGAGGCCTCCGCTTGGGGTGGGGGTAGGGGTGGGGGGGAAAAGCCGAGTGGGTGGCTTCTGGGAAGCCTCTGCCTTGTGCGGGGTTTTCCCAGCCCCGAGGTGGATTCAGTAGGTCGAAGTTGAGCCCCCGGACTTGCTGGCCCTGCGTGGGACTCTTCCCGGTATACAGGTAAAGAGCCGGGGCGGAGAGTTGACATTAGATTAGGAGTCCGACCCCCTTTGAAGGATGCAGCGCAGAGAGGGAGAACTTGGCCCTGTTTGGAGACTTTGGGAAAGGGCATTTGTTTCACTTGCACTGCTGAACTCGCCCCCCCCTCCCTCGCAGACACATTGACCCCAGGGAAGCACGGGTGACAGGTCCCGGAACCCCCCCCCCCGCCTTGTAAAGGGGCAGAGCACAGATGGCAAGTGGAATAGAGAAAGGGTCTCCTGCGTTTCCAATGGGATCTGGATAGGATACAGAACTGTACAGGTCACACACAGCCTTTGAAGGCATGTTACTATTACTTCCAAACCCACCCACCCATCCGCCTCCCACAAGCTGTTACTAAGGAGTCTCCTTCAGCATCAGGAAATCTCTTGACTACCTGTATTTAATCTCAGAATCTGCCCCCACCCCCACTCCCCTCCACTCTATGACTATTTTTGTTCCAGCCTTGCCTCCTCCTCCAAGAATATTCTGAACTGGGAGATGCTCCCTGGCCTAGACTGCTTTCATCAGATCAGTCACACGCCTTCCTGAATTTTTTTTTTTAATTTTTTTATTTTTGAGGTCGCTTAATTCTACTCTACCGTTGTTAGCAGTTCATCCAGTGTTAATGCACTTTCTACCGTTTTTACATGACGTTTTACCATAGCCAAACGGGTTTCTCCCCTTCCCGCTTTTTTGGTTCCCGTCTCTCTCGCTCTCCTCCTCTTCCCCCCCCCACCCCGTTTGCCTTTACAATATTCTTAATTTATTTGCACGGTTTATACTTTCTTCTTGACAGCTTGAAAGTGCTTTAAATAAACGGTTTTAAAATGACACACCATTTTAAAGAAAATAAAAATCTTAATTTTATAATAAATGTGATTGTAATTGAAAAAAAAATGTTTTGATTCTTTTGGGGTTTTTTTTATGAAAATATAAGCCATGGAGCATGTTTTCCCCCTTCTCCCTTTAATTTTTTTTTTTTTTTTTTATCATTTCCAGTTAAGGACTTTAAATAAATCAAATATTATCAATGAGTGGATTTTGGTTATTTTCTTTTACTTTATTCCATTATTGAAAGACTATTTACTTCTAGGCCAGTTAAAAATGAACCTAGGGTTCAAAGAGGAAGACAGGGGTAAACAAAAGGAATTGTTGGCAGTTTTTTCCCCTCTCCAGGCAAGGCAATATATTATGAGAACAATGACAGAACTGTGAATTCTGTCACCTTATTTCAAAGAGTCACCTTATTAGATCTATATTAAATATTTATTAAACTTATTGAATATTGGATCAATTCTACTAAAAATGTCACAAACTAAAATATTTGCTTTAATATTAAAAAAAACCCTAAGAATTAGGGATTTCCGTACAATAGATCTTACTTTCTTCAAGCACACCAAAGTTTATTTCAGTTTGAGGGTGAGGACTTGTAAAATAAGCTAATCTTTAGCAACTGCAGTTTTAAGAGGGAATTCTCTTAAATGAATCTCATACTGATCCCTTTCTGTTATTTAGGAATGAAATTCTAGTAAGTACCTTGGCATGAAACATACCTGTAATGATTGTAACAATGGGAATATTTGTATTGATTTTAGTGGGAAATGAAATGTGTTGAGTTTTGGAATCATAGCATTAAAAAGGGGCTTACTTTGACTTTCTTCTTCAGTGGACTGAGGCTTTTTAGTCTAAAAGTAAATTCTGGAATGGGATTCTTTGTGATTTTTACACCCCCACTCCCCAAGAATAGAATGTTGTTTATTCTGAACCTAATCTAGTCTTATAGTTCTGAAGGCTAACACCTTAGTGGATAATGGCTATTAACCTTGCAAACAATTCTGCACAAATACAATCTGTTGTATTTGATGCAAAAGGTTAGGAGTACATTTCTTAGGAGGTTTGCTACTAATGGAATTTAACTCGCCATGTTAGTGGGGCAATAGGAAAACACAAGCAGTTTAAATCCTGTTTCTGGTGCAATTTATACCTCCCTTGAAATGAAGTTATACTCACAATATATTTGGGAAATTAATTCTTACTCTTACGGGAGGGCGGGGGTATTTATATGTTTCCCAATGCATGCAGTACTTTTATTGGACTAGCTGGTTAGTATGTGACCATGTTTTTTGTACATTTGTGGTTCAGGACTGTACATGTTTATATTCAGATTATAATGCTGAACTAAACCCTTGGACTAAAAAATTAAGCATTGGTGTATTTATCCTGCCATGAGTGTTGATGGTGGTCTGCAAAAAGCAGGCCTCCGTTTGGAGGAGCTTAATATAAAATATGTTCAAGCTATGCTGCAATCCCATTTAGTGAGTTTATTTCCATTGAAAAAAAGGTATTTGCCCTTATTAGTGGAACTCAACACCAGGACGTGTTTTTTGGCAAATCTCTGTGAATTCCATGTATCCCATGCATGCACAGGTCTACATCCTTAATTTTTCAATAATTTTCCTTAAACTAAAGAAAGGTCCAATCAGGTGTACAGGGACAAAGAACGGAATTTTGTATGTTGTTGCCAGTCTAATGCTTACACCTGCCCACACACACATATGTGTCTCTAGCATGCACACAATACTGCAATCCTATTCACTTTCCAGAGCAGTAGTCCTATTAAGTCTGGCACAACAGTAGAGCCCATGCCTGTTTATTTACACACATAAGCCCTATTGTACACAGTGAGGTTTCTGCTGCTAACCGGTATTGGGCTCAAAGAGGTTTTCTCCTTTTTCTAAACCAGTTTGAAAACCTGATAAACGCATTGTATTATAACCGTTGCTGCTGCTGTTGCCTTCCTTATCCCTCTCCTTAGCCGACAATGCAGCCACCTCAGAGGTTCTTATTTTGTGTGTGTGTG